AAAAGTGAAAAATTTTCGAAAAAAGTAAAAAAAAAAAAAAGGAAAAAGGAAATAAGAGAATTTATGGATTAGAAAAAGGAAATTGATTAAAAGTGAATAAAAATGTTAGAATATATATATATATATATATATATATATATATATATATATATATATATATATATATATATATATATATATATATATATATATATATACACACACAAACTTTAATTAAGAAGGAACAAATTTTGAGATATATGATCTTAAATAAGCTATAATATTTGTATGTCTGTAAAAATTTTGAGACTTGTAGTCTGAAGCCTGCCAAAGCATTTGTGTGGCTATAAATGCTTCTTAAGAGTATTAAGAAAATATTGAAAGATGTATCTTTTTCAAATAGACTACTTAAGAAATAGTGTCAATCTTTTTTAAACGGATAAAATATATTATATACTCCATCTGTTTCAATTTATGTGAACGTATTTCCTCTTTAGTCCATGCCAAAAGAATGAACCCTTTTCATATTTGAAAATAATTTACTTTTGTGCAATAAGTTATAGCCACACAAAATATATGTGTCTCATTTTACACTAGTTCAAAAGTTTTTTTTCCCTTAAACTCCATGCCCATTCAAATAGGTTTACATAAATTAAAACGGGTCAATTGGTATAGTAACTTTTTACAAACTTGGTTTTAGTTTCATAACTTTACATCTTTTTTTACACATGAAAGATTTATTTTTTTATATAACATATCTGTCTTTTACACATAAGAGATCTAAAAAGATTATTTTCTTAATTTTAAAATTGTAATGAGGCATAATGTAGTAAGGGTTCGTTTGGTACGAGAAATAAGGGATAATTAATTCCGGAATTACATTTGAAATAAGTTTATCACATATTTGGTTGGGATAAAAGATTCTATATAATTAATTTCGGGATTAGTTATCTCGGGATAGTAGTGTTTATTTATCCATATGAAAGGATAAAATAACTAATATCCGGATAATAAATCCTGAGATAACTTATTTCACACCAAACGACGCCTAAGACTATTAGTTTAAACAATATGCTAACAGCATGTGACTTGTATGTCATTTTACACACACACACACAGTCCTTTTTCATCCAATCTAAAGCACTCTCTCTTGTTTCCTTCTACCTCCATTATTGCTTCCTAAAACCCTAAAAATGGAACATCCCTTCTTCATCAATAGCCCGCCCCCAACAAACCCATCTGAAGCAATACGATGGCTATCAATCGCTGAAAAACTCCTCACAAATCGTGACCTAGTCGGCAGCAAATCATTTGCGACCCGTGCCCGTGAATCCGACCCGACATTATCACACGCTACCGACCAAATACTCGGCATCATCGACACCTTAATCGCCGGCGACAAACGGATTAACAACCACTACTTTGATTATTACTCTATCCTCCAAATCCCTCCTAATCAAACCCAAGATTTCGAATTCATCGCCGATCAGTATCGCCGATTTGCTCTTCTTTTGAACCCTCAGAACAACAATTTTCCATTTTCAGATCAGGCTTTTCGCCTTGTTGTTGATGCATTTTCAGTTCTTTCTAACCCCCTGAGGAAAAGTATGTATGATAAAGAGCTGGGTTTCTTCGTTAATCTTTACCCAGTTGCTTCTACACCTACCCCTGTGAGTTTTGTGCAACATGGTGGGTATTCTGAAATACCTGGTTCAACTGCAGACCAGGTGTTTGTGAATTTGCCTAGTCAAGATCAAGGGTCACATGCTGCTGGAGTAAGAGACCCACAAGCTGGGTTTTCTATGCCAGTCACATTTCTGAATCGTGAACAAGAATCTGTGACTTCTATGGCAAGCTCGGGTACAGAGCAACAACATCAGCTGCAACAACCTGGAACATTTCTGAGACAACAGACACAACCAGTGAGCTCTGTTTCGTTTTCAAACACAGATGAACAACCTGTGACATTCTTCAATTTAAACCAACCTCAGCCGGTTACTTCCGAGAGAAGCTTAAATAGAGAAAACACACCATTTGGCAATGGGTTGAGCTCGACCCGAGGGCGAGAGCCGGTGGTTTCTGTTGAGCAGCATGGTAATCAACAGCCCCCTGATAGAAATGAGAATGTGGTAACTTCCGAGAGAAGCTTAAATAGAGAAAACGCACCATTTGGCAATGGGTTGAGCTCGACCCGAGGGCGAGAGCCGGTGGTTTCTGTAGAGCAGCATGGTAATCAACAGCCCACCGATAGAAATGAGAATGTGGTGGGGAACAATGAAAACAGGTCTGTTAATACTAGTGATAATGCGAGTAATGTGAAGGAGAAAGAAGGGAATGCAAATGATGCATCGAATAAGATACCGAGCTTCTGGACTGCATGTCCTTATTGTTATGTTATGTATGAGTACCCTTTGGAGTATGTTGATTGTACATTTTCGTGTCGAAATTGTAAGAGGGCTTTTCAAGCTGTGAGAATTGCGTCCCCTCCACCAATTATTGATGGAAAAGAAGCTTATTTCTGTAGTTGGGGATTTATGCCTTTAGGATTTTCCTTGGAGAATTTTAAGAATAGTGGAGATAATGTTTCGAGCTGGTCTCCGTTTTCGCCCATGTTTACTTGTCCTGAGCTGGGGGGAATCTGAATAATCATGTTGCTAGAGGAAAGAATGATGATGATGTTGTGTTTGTTAAGATATGGAAGGCCATTTCTGGAGATACTACTCTTAAGGTAATTTCTAGAGGAAGTTGACCTAGAGGAGGAGAAGAAGGAAGAGAGAATCAAGCCCTTCATTTCCAAATTTACCTTTCCATTCTTTTATCATGATGATATGTTGTAGTAATTTTCTTATGAAGTAAACTTTGTGATTTCCGTAGATGATGAAACTAATTTGTAACTTGATTTTGCAAACTAATCCGTAAAGTGATTCTGCTGACTTGATACAATGCTTCAAAGAACAACATACCCAATGTATTGTTAGGGGGCCTGAGGAGGGTAGTATGTATGCAAAACTCGGCTGGCTCATAAGAAGTAGAGAGGCTGTTTCCGGAAGACCCTCGGCTCAATAAAGCAAATTTGCTTCAAAGAGAAAAGAAGAAAAAAATATAATGGATGGTGACACAACAAATTTAAGCACTGAATGTAACTATCTATTTATCGTAACGAACTGAATGAGGTTCGAATTCACAGCGCAAAGAATGCACGAAATTGCAGTAAATTTACATCAATAAAGGTAGCATTCAATCATCATTCAAGCAAAACTTTCAACCTCAAAATTTCTTGAAGTGGTGCAAACATTAAGGAGCTTTACTCATAAGGATTTCTGAAGTTCTTCAGAAGCTCTGGGATGTCATGACCGAGCATGTCGTCCACAGCTTGAATCATTTTAGGCTTCAGTTTCTCAAAATCATTGATGCTGTAATGACTTAAAACTTCCCTAAAATGATCAACACTTGGGAAATCCCCAGCTGGTAAACGAAATTCTTTCTGGACCTGTGTCATAAATGTAAATTCATTATAAGCACATATCTGAAATATAAAGAGATCCATTTAGCACAAGTGAGTTCAGAAAGAGACCTTTTCGAACACGTTATCAAGATTCTGGATGAGTTTCTGCTGGGTTTTGGACTTGCCCATCAATGCAGGCATCTCCTTCTTAAGATGGCTAACAATGTAGGAATGGATCTTAGCTGCTCTGGCACGTTTAACAAATTCATTGATCTGCAGTGGTACAAAACTTACATGAGAATCCAAAACCATCTGGTACACAATGTTAAGCAAATTGAAATGCCATTGGACAAGAAGAGTTATTAGAAAAGGAAGGTGATCTTACTCGACGATCACAAGCCTTCTTAGGAATATCTATCAAATCATCAAGAAGGTCATCTTGCTCTTTTTCAAAAAGATCCTTTCCAGTAGGACCAACAGCTTCTTCATTAACTGGTTTGTCGTTGAAAGAGCTGCAAAACCAAAAGTTGTGAGTGCTTATTATACACCATGTGAAGAATGACTATGATTAAAAATGTTGACAAATGTCAAGTCATGCACAAAAGGTGTTAGCTATAAACTTTTCTTCATCTCTTTTACAGTCGGCATGCTATCCAATGATCATTTCTAAGCATATAATGTAGCAACTTTGATCAAAATATAGAGAACTAAAAAAGACCTTTCTCTTACCCTATATAGACTCGCACAACTTCAGGTGTGTTCAGAACCTTTCCAAGAGACCACGTCAATGCACCATAAACTCTCATCAGCTGCCATAAAAACGAAAGGCAGAATAACTTTTAGAATCAAGCAAAATCATCTTGTGAAGTAGAAAAAAGTGAATATAAGGTAATTTTGTATTGATAATAATCATATCTTACTTGTTGTGTATCTACTTGATCTGCCTTGTTTAATACTACACGGATTTTGTCCTCATGACCTTTCAAAGATGATATAACTCGTTTGAATTCATCACTAATATCAAGTTTATGTGGGTCAAACAAGAGGAGTATCATGTCACATTTTGCAGCAAACCATGAGATGACACCAGTAAACTCATAACTTCTCTGTGTCCTTTGCTTCTCTCCCGATAAAACTCCAGGAGTGTCCACGAATGAAATATGGTCAAGGAGCTGTGAAGGAAAAAAATTAGACTAATTAATAAATTATGCTTCTTAATAGTATAAAAGTAAAAGAAATTGCTAGATATTGACTCACAGAATGTGGCATTTGGGAGCACTCAAATTTTGACAAAAATGCTCCACCAAACTTTGTCAAATCAGTGAATGGCAAGTCGTTGTGAACAGCAATAGTGTTGCCAGGAATGCTCCTTTCATCTGGACCAGACTGAGAAAAAAAATCACCGTAAGACACTATAATAGAAAGTACACAACAATCAAATTGAGTCACAAACATACTGCCATGGAAACATTATTGGAGAGAAAAAATTGCAAGGGAATTACTATACTTCTATTACTACTACATTTATTATTATGGACCTATATATCTTGAAATAAGAGAATAAAACATATGGAACAATTGCAATTCCCTATTTACCGTAACCACAATAAATCTGTCGGTTGTTGGCTCTGGTCCGATGTGTGCACCTATTTCAGCCAAAAGAGTCAAAAGAAAAGAACGAATGGAAGGATGGACATTAGGTAAAAGAATTGGCAGGTATTAAAATATGAGTAGAGAAATTGGACATGAAATTACTAACCTGGATAATTGCTCTTTAGCAAGTGTTTGATAAATGTGGTTTTTCCTGTCGAGTATTGTCCCAAAAGCATGACCATAGGCTTGGCATCATAATCGCTCTCCGTCTATGACAACAGATAAAAAGAAGTACAAACAAATGACAAGTTTGACATCTATAAGGTTGTTGAGAAGTACTACTAATGAGCTTCTTCATCTACTCACCAGAGCAGGAGATGCAAAATCATTAAAGCGGTAAGTAAGTTCCAGCGGCTTCAACTTTTCATTGTATAGTCTCTTCAAACCATCAGTTACTGATGTAACAGCGGTAAGAGAAGGCTGGATCTGAAGCAAATACGAAAAGAAACTAGCTAAGTCAACATGAAATATAACCAAATAGCCAATTTGTAGTAAAGACACTTTTACAACAATAGGGACAAGGCTTTGGGAAACTTTTGATTTTCCGAGTTAGCCAAGTTACAAAGAACAGAGATAATTTGTAAGATTAATTTGAAAAAATAACAAAAAGCTCAATCTAAAGCCAAATAAAAACAACTAGCTCTCATGAGAATGGGAAATCATCATTTTGATTCAACTATACGTGTTGTAAACTACAGGCAACTAACTGCAGATATCAGTTTTCCTGGTCAATCAGCTTACCATGCATAGACATAATTATAGGAAGAAGACTATTAACTGCACAAAACATAGGCCAAGGCTACATCGGCAGAGAGTGGAAAAGATTGGAGCATATACACACAAGATAGATTTCACATCAACATCCCAAAGCAATCAAAACTCACCTTCTTTCTAGATTTTCTGGAAAACAAGTTGATTGGTGGTGGTGACTGCAGTTGAATAGTTCCTGTATGCATTTTCAAGTTAAGCAATTTAACCAAGACGGCTTAATATTTCTTCTTGTTTGAGTAAAAGCATCAATGGTGTGAAATGACATTTTATACTGACCATTTGTTTCAATCTTTTTCATCGACGAACCATTGATCTTCTGCGACTTGGAGGCAAAAAGTAAACCATACATTACCAGGCTTATAGACAATAAGAAAATAAGATGGAACTGTAGAAGCACTTACGGATAATAAAGCATCCAAACCTTCCATAGATGGAGGACTCAAAAACTCCATATTAGCTACAAAAATAGATAAGAGAAAAGGAAACAAGAACTGAGCCAATCATGACAAACTCATATGTTCTCATCACCATGACAGACAATTGACTACTGCATTGAAAAGAATATATCTAAAACTTGCAAAAACAATTGAAATGCATTATTCTTGCCACTTGCACGCTAATGACTTGAGTGCATAATTTTTGTCGCATGAATTGGTAGCAATAGTAAGTACGTGCACTATAAATTTCAGTTTTTGAAATTGAGTAGCCCAATAAGCATATTGGCAGTAAATCCTTTCAAGTGTATATAACGAATTGTCAAAATTCAACTCCTGAAGTTTCTGAAATATCTTTCAGCTATAATGCACAGAAAATAATAAGATAGTGATTTAAGAAATTTCTAGATCATACTTATCCTCGCTTACAACATTGATATAAAAAATAGAGCTCAAATTCTTGAGCATATATAACTTTGTGGCTCTGTGAACCTAAATGCTTCAATATGGATTATAAACACCAATCAAGAAGCATTACCTTTGCTCCTAAGGAGATCAGAGCTGAGCTCACGTCCTTCTTGTGCCAAGGAGATCAACTATAGTAGCAGAAAAAGGCATTTAGGTTCTACCTGATCGATCTATACAGTATTAATATAAATAGAAAAGGTTCGTGTCAAAAATGACCTGCATTGCAGTGACAAACTCATTGAAACCCAAAAAACCTTGTCGTTTAGTATCTGCAATTGCCCAAACCTTCATAGATAAAGCACAACAAAGTTGCAAATTAGTCATTTAACGCTACCACATAAGGCTAATATCTAGGAAGTCACAAACAAACAACACCACCAATTATGCAGTCCAATATTACTTTAAACACAATAAAGAACCTTAATATTCCCTTAAACTCAATGCATACTGAGGTTTTTATGCTGAAAAATAGCAATGCACAATCTAATTTCATTGGTTGGCAATTCGGCAATATCTTAGAAGATAAAGCTAGTAAACGTTTTTAACCAAAAGATGGCTCAATAAATAACACTTACATAACTTTTATGAAAAAAAAAAAAAAAATTAAGCAACCACTACTCCACATTAAACTTCAATACCAGATGCAAAAGACTCTAAGATTTAACTGCGATATAATGTAAACAGATGGCATCTCGATAAAAAATCAATAGAAGACTAGTTCTAACATAAGAAATTACTAGAGAAACGCACCACCAAAAGCTACTAAATATCAAAACAAACACAGCATATACCCTATTAATCACTCATGACAAACAAATTACTAATGAAAAACAAATAACAAAATTATGAACAAAACATAACACTGTAAGTTCAAAAATGGACATATATACATATATGTCTCTCTATGTGTGTGCGCGCGCGCAAGTGTGTATATCAGTAATTCAGATATATAAAACTGTAAGGCTTGGAAGGTAAAGAGACCGTGTGTTCAAAATAAACAATCATAAATTACATTTTTACCAAAAATAAAACAAAAAAAGTGACAAAATCACAAAAAATCAGAACAACTGCACATAAGAACACTACCTGCTTGAGTTCAGGCCTAGATAGATTCGACAATGAAAACAGCTTAGTAGCATCATTTCCTGTAATACGACCATCGCCATCTGCGTATAGAAAGACCAAAACATAGCAATAAACCGATGAGATTTCACTGAAAATGTAAACCGAAGAATGCTTGTAAATGAACCAAGTAAACTATACCTGAATCGACGAAGTTGAACCAGTTTTGATAGATCTTCTGATCCTCTTTAGAACACGAAGAAATTGAACTTGATACAATCTCCATTTTTCTCTACGGAGATGAATGGTGAAGAGAAGAATGTTGGTTCAGTAATCTGAAATTTGAAAACCCTGAAAGAGGGAATTTATTACGGCATTTTTTATAACAGACGCGGGCGCTATTTCAAGATATCTTACGACATCGTTTTAATGGAACAGTGCTCTTTTCCAATTACAGGAAAAACTAAATTTCATATGCTTCACTCTTATTATACGCTCTTTCTCTTTTATTTTATGTGATATATTTTGATTCATCATAAAATAAAAAAATTAAAACTTGTGTTATTAAACATGTCATAATAATTTTGTGTTAATAAAATTTTTGAAATTTATAGTCTTAAACATATCAGAATATTTGTGTGTCAATAAGTAACGTTTGATGTATTTTAATATATGTTATAACATTTGTATGACTATGAGATTTTTAAAATTTGTAGTCTTAAACATGTCTTAACATTTATGTGGCTATAAAACTTATCCTTAAATATGTTATTCTTTTCGAAATGACTAATAACAATTTTTTTCTTTTTTTGATAATCGTGGTGTCCGGACCAGCTTGCGCACACCTCAATTAATTCCACGTGATACCTACTACCTCTCACCAACAATTAAAAAGAAAATAGTGTTACATAAATTGAAATGGGTGGAGTAATAATAAAATAATTTTACAAATATTAAAGTCGATTCATCTTTGAGAATACAAATAAAAATTATATTTCTTTATCTCTTTTAAATTTCTGTAATAGTATTTTTGTCACATCAGGATATATCCTCCTCTATGTGGGATAATATAAGAAGGTAAGTGGTAGTATAAAACAAGAAGACAGGTATGCACTAGTTAAGATAGAGATTTTTTTGTAAATTTCATTATATTTTCAATTGTTATTTTCTAATTTCCTTAAATTCCCTCCGCATAAATATTTAAATCTAGGTTAATAATTAGATGGTGTTGTCATTGTGTTCAAAATTTAGGATAAGAATTGACTCGAAAATAATCTTTGAAAAAATGTCTTACTTATCCAATTATCTCAAATTTGAAATTCAAATTGCAACAACCGAAAGAAGAGACGGACAAAACCCAAAAGCGTGACACTAAGTTGGAATTTATGTGGCAGAATTCGAATTTGAGTTTTTATTTGACCAGAATTTTTTCAGATGCATTTTGGATATTTTGAATTGTTAATATTGTGATCTACAGTATTATTTACATAATTTTCAAATATATAAATTTTATTTCAGAAACTTTCTAAGATTTTATGTCCAAATTCACGATTAAAATTAAAAAATTTGACTCTCCAAATTCGAGCTTAGCCACGTAAATTGAAAAAGGAGTACTATAGTATACGTACTAGTAATATAAGCTACTTTGGTTCCCACATGATTTGTTTAATTTCTTTTTTATTTGGCTATTATATGGGGGCTCCCACATGATTAACAAGATCGTTAAGAAATTTCGTTTCTCTTTTAATTTCATATATTAACTCACGAAACTACCAGCGAATATTTTTCCATTCAGAGAGAAACTCTTATACATCACTAAACACAACCAATGGAAAACCCACCCAAATTACCTAACATACCACCGGACGACACTGTCATGGAAGAAGACATAACCCAATCCCATTCTTACAAAGAAATGCTCCTAGACAAGCAAAATACTACACAAGCTGATTACTTCGCTTCAGAACTTCAATCCACCCTAACGCAAGAAAAAGGAAAGGAAACAACAGGTCCTATCCTACTTTCTCAAGAGGATAAAAACAGGCTATATGAACCATGGCGTCACTCAGTCATCATAAAGCTCTTTGGAAAGAGAATGCCACACTATCTCCTCCGATCCAAATTAGTGGACTTATGGAACCCATTCGAACATGTCACGACCCTAAACCCGTACCGGGTCGTGATGACGCCTCTCGTGAAGATAAGGCCAGCCAACTATTCCCAATTCGAAGTTAAACAGCTAAACAAAACAGTCTAAAACATGTTTTAATAATACTACGTAGCAGATAATATCATAACAATACGGAAGTACAACCCAAACACAGCCCTAACCGGGGTGTCACTAGTCATGAGCATCTACCGAGGCCCGAATACAACTAGAGTCAAAATGTACTAAATACGGTATAATGAAATCGAGAGGGAGAAAAGCAGTGCTGCGAACGTCGGGCAGCTACCTTGCTAAACTCCGATGACTCTGCCTCTGAGCAACCAATACCCGCTACCGGGTTTAGGAATACCTGAATCTGCACACAAGGTGCAGGGGGTAAAGTGAGTACTTCCAACTCAGTGAGTAATAATCATAAATAAAGACTGAGTGATAAGAAATCACGAAAAGTGCATCAACATGCTGTATAGAAGTAGTACAAAACCAGTAGGAAAGCAATGAAGCTGTGAAATCTCTTAAAGCGTCTTAGCTCAGTTTAAACTTCTTCAAAAATGGCTTCTCAACAGCTAAGCAATTGAATGCAAAGTAACTAGAACAGATAAGCATAAAGAATACACCCCTCGGGCACAATTACACAACTAAACAGGTAAATAAGACAGATAAACACATAAAGGTTCGCCCCTCGGGCACAATGTGAACAACTCCGCCCCTCGGGCAATATCTCAAATCAATACCAGCCCCTCGGGCTATCACATAAAACAATACCAGCCCCTCGGGCTATATCTCACATCACAATGGGTACCCGCACTCACTGGGGGTGTGCAGACTCTTGGAGGGGCCCCTTAGGGCCCAAGCGCAATATCAAGCCATCTCGTGGCATCATAAACAGGCTCTTGGCCTCATATCAATATCAAGCCACCTCGTGGCATACAATCTCAGGCCCTCGGCCTCGTAATCAAAATCAGTGTATCACCGCTGCGGCGTGCAACCCGACCCAAAAGATATCCTCACAACACAAGCCATCGGCCTTACTCAGTCAAAAATCACATAAGCTCCTCGGGCAACAGTAAAACAGTGTTTCTCAGCCCAAAACATCATTTAAATATCAATTGAGTATTAAAACTGAGTGAACATGGCTGATTTTTGAAAACAGCGGAAAATAACATGACTGAGTTCAAGTATAAAGTCAAAACAGTGAGGAAATATCAACAAAAATCTCCGAAGGGCTCAAATAATTGGCACGGAGGCCAAATATGGCATTCAAACCAAATAATAATGATACCAAATAGATTTCAGTCAAATACACGAAAAAACCATCAATCGGTATAGACCAAGTCATAGTCCCCAATAGTGCACGAGCTCACGCTCGTCATCAAGCGGGTGCCTCACCTCAATATAGCACCACGATGTGCAATCCGGGGCTTCAAACCCTCAAAACATCATTTACAAAATCGACCTCCGGATGCTCCAAATCTAGCCACCATCAGTACATAATCATTAAAATATGCTAAGGGAACGAAGCCCACTCGAAAACATACAATTCACATCAAAAATCCTGAAATTGCTCAAACCTGGCCCCCGGGCCCATATCTCAAAATCCGACAAAAGTCACCTTAATAGAATCCTCGTCCTCACACGAGTCTATACATACCAAGAACATCAAAATCCATCCACAAATGACCCTTCAAATCCATAATTTTAGGTCTCCAATTTCAAACCCTAGTTCTTCAATTTTAGGCTTAGATTCCATGATTTACTAGGTGGGATTCACATAATAATCGAGTATTGAGTTCAAAAATCTTACCTCCAAGTGATTCTCCTTGAATCCCTCTTCAATCCTCTTCAAAAAGCTCCAAAATCGCCCAAAAATGGTGAAAGATAGCTTCAAAATCGCGGACAATGGCTATTTAAACATTCTGCCCAGGCATCAAAAACCTTCTTCCAGAACGCGGTCAAAGCCACGCGTTCGCGAAGCACAATCCATCTTTGACCAGAAAATCCTTCTTTGCGATCGCGTCTCGCCACTCGCGAACGCGACGCTTCCACAGACTAAACCCTCGCAATCGCGTAACATCCCTCGCGAACGCGCTGACCAATCACACAGCCCTTCGCGGACGCGGATCCTTCTTCGCGAATGCGAAGGCTAACTTCCAGCCTTCACCAGCTAACCCTTTGCGAACGCGAGGGCCTACTCGCGAACGCGAAGGCCATTTTCTCTGCAACACTGATCAGCAATTTCTGCAACTTTTCAAAACAAGAAATGGCCCGATAGACCACCCGAAACTCACCCGAAGTCCTCGGGACCTCAACCAAACATGCCAACATATCCCATAACATCATTCAAACTTGTTCCAACCTTCGGAATGCTCAAAAAAACATAAAAACATCAAATTTGCATCAAATTCAAGCCTAAAAATTCCAAAATCTTCCGAATTACGCTTTTGATCAAAAACCCAACCAAACCACGTCCGAATGACCTGAAATTTTGCACACACATTCAAAATGGCACAACGGAACTACTGCAACTTCCAGAATTCTACTCCGACCTCTATAACAAAATCTCGCCTAACAACCGGAAAACGCCAAAATGTCAATTTCGCCAATTCAAGCCTAAACCTTCCATGGACTTCCAAAATGCATTCCGATCACGCTCCTAAGTCCCAAATAACCTAACCAAGCTAACCAACTCATAAAAATTCCGATCCGAGATCATATACAAACAAGTCAAATCTTGGTCAAACCTTTCAAATTCCAAGCTTCAAACTGAGAACTGTTCTTCCAAATTCATTCTAATTACCCTGAAAACCAAAACCAACAATTTGCATAAGTCTTAATACATCATACGGGGCAAGTCATGCCCAAGAACTGACGAGCCAGGTGCAAAAGCTCAAAACGACCGGTCGGGTCGTTACAGATTTTTATAAATTTTGTCGGGTTCCGAGGTGCGGGCCCAAGGAGTTGACTTTTGTTGACCTTTTGCAAATTGTATAAGAATCATAGTTTTGTTAATTGAAATTGTTTTATCTTGCATTATTTGATGTATTCAAGTTGTTTTTGGATAGATTGAGCTGAGCGTTGATGAATTGGTAAAGGAAAAGCTAAATTGAGAATCGAATTGGCCGGATTGAGGTAAGTATCTTGCCTAATCTTGTGTGGGGGACTTCCCCTTAGGATTTGAGTCTTC